CATAAAAGCTCTGAAGAAGCTCTGTTTATGTCCTTGTATTGGATAACGCTGAAGCCATGGTCTCTGTGACTCAGCTGGAATAGAATCCAAAATAAAGCACCAAGCTGCTTATCTCGAAGCTCAATTCCCAGGGACCAGCAACAGTCTATATAACCATTATGCTCAGCGCCCTAGTTGTGACTGACCTTATTTGTTTTGGGTATCAGTCTGGCTTTAGCACCCCAATAGACTGTTTTCTTCATGAAGCTGGAAGGCTAATATGCAATACAATGAGGAGGCAACTGAGTGTACACAAGTTGAATCAGTGAGTAGAGTAGCACCCAGTCTTAGAAAGAAGGTTTTCTTGGCGAGGAGGTAGAAGAGGTCCCTGCTGATGGATTTTTCAATAAAAGTACTCTTTCATATATATTTATAGACATCCCCACATATGTGTGTATGTCATATTATAACACCCTCTCAATATATTGTCTCATTTGATACTTATCATGAATTGGAGATTTTGAATTGTTCCCATTTTTGGGTTCAGAGAGAACTTAGAAGTCCATGATTTGCCTAAAGTCACTTAGGCAATAAGAAGATCCAAGAACTGTTCTCAGCTTTCCCATCCCTGTGCTTCTGTTTGATGTACAGCTGTCTGATATGTATGAATTGAGGGACTGGTACCTGGGTCATAACATTTAGCAGACATCTCAATGAGGTTACAGTTGGTATCATGCCACACATTTTACCCTATTGATACCTCACACATCATTGCAATATTGAGCACTTATTAGTGAAATTTAGAAACCTAGCATGTTTGCAGTGTCTGTAGTGGCTGGTTATCTGCCTGACTGATGTGAAGGTCCTGTGAGGAGGTATAGTATCAGATAACTTGGGGTAAGATATTAAATCTTGTATAGCACTGTGTTCATAGCTGAGTTAAGACATGGAAACAGCAACTTTCTCATTTAGTTAATAACAAAATATGTACATGGTGATACTTAAAGCACTATTCTAAGTTCCCAAGAGCTATGAAGTGATTTACTTCAGGACCTTACGCTTCTGTTGGAGATGGGTGAGCATATCAAACCACCAGTAACTTAGGACAACTGAATAGTGGCAGGGGTGAGGCCCAGGCAACACAGCCCATAGCCAATGGAGAGATAATGAACATTGGAGTCATTTGGGAGGACTTTGTAGATTTTGCCATGGATTTGAAATGTAGACACTGTGTATAGAGTAGTGATAGCTTTCTAGGTGAATAAACAAAGAAGGTGGGCCCAGGCATTCAAATTTAAAAGAACAAGGCATGGTGTAGAATATAATTAGACCCATCTCACTGGGTAGACATGAGTTTATAGTAAGAGTGGAATATTAATGCTAAAACATTAATATGGAGTAGGGGAGATGGTTAAGAAGATAAAACGCTTGCCATGCAACCATGAGGACCAGAGTTTTTACCCCCAGCATCTGCATAAAAGCTGAGTGAGTTTGACGGTTATAACTCCAGCTCTTGGGAGGCAGAGAGAAGTGATGCCTAGGCCAAGCTTGCTAGCTACACCAGCTGAATCAGTGAGTGCCAGGTTCAGTGAGACCCTGCTCCAGAAAATAAAGTGGAGAGTGACTAAGGAAGACACCCAGATGTTTACCTCTGGCCTCCAGATGCATGTGCACTTACACATACATGTGCCACAACACATGCAGATGTACACACACACACACACACACACACACACACACACACACACACACACACACGAGAGAGAGAGAGAGAGAGAGAGAGAGAGAGAGAGAGAGAGAGAGAGAGAGAGAGAGAGAGATCCAAAGCTGATTGGGAGGATTGTGGGTAGTACCAAATGCTTGGACGGATGGCTTATTCTTCAATGAAAGAGGTGTCATTGAAGCCTTTGATCAGGAGGCACACACTGAAAGAATTCCAGCTTATTTTGTGGCAGTAAAGAGTAAGGGGGGAAAGACTGTTGATAAAGAGATGAGACAAAACATGAACAGTGTCACATGTGAAATGAGCAGTGGACACACCTGGATGCCTGGGTGAGCATGAGTTCCAGTGCCTGAGAAATTCCTGGGCTCTGTCCTATACTAGCTCCATCATACTTTCTCTTTAGACGCTTGCTCATTTGATCAGACAGTGTCACAGATTTCTGCTCAAGCTTTGAAGACATGTGCCATCTATCTCTTTTATTACTCCCTCAAAATTGACTTGAATGAACTTTTCAAGTGTCTCCAACGCTAAGCCATTTTGGCCTCTTTGGGACACATTGAGTAGTTTGCTATCATTTTTGAAAAGCCTTGCACACCTCATCTTCTAGCCCATTAGATTTTGTGTCCCCTCAGTAATATCCCTGTCAAGTGGTTTTGACACTTCATCACTGGAGGTGGGCCAGTGATTGCTGTGGGTATATGGATGTCAAAGCTGACCCTGTATTTCAGTTAATGTGTGGCACAGAAGCAGCATTGTCCTGGGGGAAAAGCCCCTGCTGTTGACAGAGCGAGGTTTAGCAAGCCATCGCTGGAGAGGCTGTGTCAGGGGTCCTGGAGTTCATCCAGGGTGTAATGCTTCACAAGAGGGCTTGCAGGAGGCAGTACATAGAGCTCCTGTCTATGGTTTATTGTGACACAAAGACACAGAGCAAGGTCAGCACAAAGGAAACACAGGGAAGAAACCTGGAAGAAACCAGGTGCCACCAGCTTCTACTGGGAGTCCTGCAGACTATGCAAAGTTCCTCCAGTAGTGAGTTGTGAAACACACAGAAATATTATTTATCTGTCTCATTAAGACTCCTTGCCCAGGAATTTCACTGAGGCTTGTTTGCCTAAGTATCTTTTACATAACACAGAACACAATCCTGGACTCCCAGAAGGAAAGCAGAGGTTCAGCATAAGCAGCATTAGGCCAGGAGCCATTCAGATTGTTCTGGGAGCTGAACAAAGTCTCCCCAAAGGGTGAGATACCAGATGCCAACCCTGTGCCAATTTTGCAAGCACCTTTCCTAAGGATAGGAGTCTCTCTTAGAGCGGTTAACTCTTCCCTGGACAGAGAGTAAAAATATTATCACTGTTGTTGATTGTTATGGAGAAGCTGCTACAAAGCCAAGAGAGGCTTGTTCCAATTCCAAATTAAGAAGTCATGTTTCCAATTTCTCCCCTTCTCCCTTCTATCCTCTCTGCGGGAGGGGCTTTAATTGGGGAGAGGAAGGGAGGTCAATATAGAAGGGAAGGGAATGAAGAGGGAATAACACAGTAACACTAAGGATGCTTGAAAAAGCCTTAAGGAATCATTTTATATTTATCTAAATTTACATATAATACATATGAGTCTATGTATGTACACACACACACACACACACACACATACACACAGTTTAAATGAAATTATGCACTTAAGGTGATAATACTTCACCCAAGAACCATAGAGACTCTAATATATTCCCCAGTGCCAGGCACAAGAAACCTCCTTTAGAGTTGTTGGTCCTGGGAGTCTAAAAGACTCCTAAAATGATATAGACTACTGCTATTGCCCTCGGTTGATTCCCAGAAGTCGAAGGTAAGTCCCCATTGCTGAAGACACTGAGTACACAAGTACACAAGACAAAGAAGACTTGAGCTGGATCTGACCCCAAACACTCCTTCCTTAGGATTAGCTTTTGCAGTATCATAAGGTGCTACTCAATCTGCCGAAGGAGCAGAACATTCAATAGTCCTACTCAACTGTGACACCTATGAACCAGAATAATGGTCAGCACAGCAAGACAGTCATGACGGTACAATAGTGCCATGTCTACCTTGGTGGTAGCCAATAGCTCCCTAAATTGGACTTAAGGCCAATTGAACAGGAGGGAAATCATGCCTGGTACTGGAAACCTAGCCAACTATCTGGGGCGAGTGAGGTCAGAGATCTCTCAGGAGAGCCTACTACTGCCACTTTCCTAACCCATGGTAATTCCTAACTACAATCTAGACACCTATCCTTATATACACAGTGAAGTGTAGCTCTCTTCTCGGTCAAAGATACTTCTTTTCAGGACAGATGAAGATCACTACAGAAAGCCATGGCTAGTCAGAATGCATAGCACAGTTCACTGTTGGGTGCCCAGCCCCAAAGGAAACATCTACAACACATCCCCCTACACTTAAGACTCAGGGAACATCTGGGAAGGAGGGGCAGAAAGAGTATAAGAGCCAGAAGACCAGGAAGTCTGCTGCAGGACTGAATCTTTTAGACTTGACAGGGAAACTACACAGGAAAAGGGAAGTGGCTGAATCTGGGAGAAGATTCTTTGAACACTGCTGTGTACTTCCTTTGGGGATTACCGATCTTGATGAGAGAGCTGGTTTGCTTTTTCGTCTGAGGAGACTCTTTGGCCATTGCATTGTCTTTGTTACTGCTTGCTGGTTAAGAATGAAACTGAAAAGCTGCTTGTTTTGAGAGGGAACATCCTGAGGGGAGGGTGAAAGCCTTCGAATTTATTACTCTAAGCTCAGACTTCTCCCAGACCCTGGCATCTAGGTACTGCCTTTGGTATATAATTTCTCTTTTCCTGGGTTCTCAGATACTAAAGTTGAACAGAGCCTCAATAGTATGTGACTAGGTGAAGCAATGATTTTTATTTTAGTTAAAAATATTTAATGTAGTTTATAAAATATATAGTTTATGATAGATTTGTGTGTATACATATGCTATATGTGTACACACACACATACATGTATATATGAGATGTTTTTAAAGGAAAATCTCTTATGTTAGTGTGGCTAGCTTAGAGATGCTTGTGGTGTGGGAGACACCACTGTCTCCTTTGTTTCATGCTCCAGACGGCTCAGAAATAGAAAATGATTTCATGGCAGAAGGTGGAGAGGGCAGTGCTCTGTGGCACTTGCAGTAATGGTTACTATAGCAATGGATAACAATTCTGGCCGCATTCACTTCAGTGAACCTCAGGAGGGCAAATATGGGCCGTAATGAGGAGGTCTGAAACTCTCTGTCTCTTGTCCTACTGTCTCAGGGTTTCCAGCAAAAGTTCTCCTTCCACAGTAAAGAGATCGTGGCCATCAGCTGTTCTTGGTGCAAGCAGGCGGTAAGTGTGGGGTGAAATAAGTGACGTGGGCTCACGTGTGACCATAACTGGCCATTCCAGTGCTTGGGTTCCTCCTGTCTACATGTGGAAGATTACCCTAAAAAGTTTGGTTTTCTCGTACAGCATCCTTAGAAGAAGAGAGTAAAATTATAGATAAAAAGCAAATATAAGTGGGGAAAAACAGAGAGAAAAATTATACTTCTTTCATTTAACTTGAAGCCCAGAATAAAAGCTTGGAAACCCTCCGTGATTCTCACCCTGGGATTAGAATCTAGAGCTCCTTCCCCCTAGTTCACCCACATGTCTTCCCTGTCCACTAGACTGTTAAGGGTTCCTCATCATACTAAAGTCCAACACGGGGAGCCTTGAATGAACTCTGCATCCTGGGAGTCTAGGTCTAGGTCTAGGTCTTGATGTGTGTGACTTTGTTGTGGGGCCATGGAGAACGAGTGCCTTTTGTGTTGTTCTTTAGGTTTCAATGTTTTCGTAGCCATCCATGTGCCCACTGAAATAGAGCCCGCCCTTGTATTTGACCATGTACATTCATTAAGATCCCACACTAATTTCCCACTTACTCTACTTTTCTTTATCCCCTGTCTCATTCTCTTCTACTCTTAAAAGCACTTGACTCCTCCATCCAAAACAGATATTGCACTTTTGTATTTGCTTTCCTCTGTGGCTGCTTTTGGACTTTACTCTAACACAGTTGGCAAACTATGACATCCAGGGCCAAGTATGGCTGCCACCACTGCCAACTCAGTGATGAGTTGAGTATTTGCAACACACCCAGGCCTTTACAGAAACAGTTTGTTAACCAACTCCCTCAAATCTCTCAACCTATCTACTCTTATTTTTCAAGGTCTAGTCTTGCTATGTAGAGTGTGCTATCTTTGTACTTGTGATCCTTCTGCTTCAGCCACCTGGATGCTTGGATTATATGATATGCACTAGCATATCAGCTTCCCATCTGCTTTTTTTTTGAGTGACCGTGTAGATGAAAATATATCACTTGTTTATTTCAAAGGAGACCTGAAAAGAAGGTCTGTGTGTGTTAGCTAGATTCAGGGATCACAGGTCTACACACAGTAGATTCAAAACTAGCAAAGGGGCTGGAACAGATGCAGTTTGAAACAATTGCAGTTGACATTTTTGTGGGTTAAACTCTTTGCATTATAGCAAGTCTATAAGATTCAACCCAATAGTCTCACTAACATAATTTCCCCAGGGCCTTCTTCTGTTGAGAGCCTCTGCTTATTAGGTGCAGACCCACTGGTCTGGAAGGTTCAGTGTTTGCTGTACCACCATCATACCACGTTTTTTTTTTCTTGGCATTTCCATGTTATCCCAGTAATCATACATGTAAACTTTGTGCTTCTGTTTAAAAACATGTTCAGAAGCACAAGGCTATCCTACTTATAGTGAAACTTTACATCATAAACACAGGATCTCCCTCTGGTATTAAGGTGTCAACTAGTCCCTAATGCTTCCCATGCTGCTCACTTTCCTGAGCTGGGAAGAGCCTGTTCTGATAGACTGTTGCTCCTGTGACCCTGGAGTGAGGTGTCTTATTCAGGGTCCATTCATTTGAAGCCTTGATCCTACTTTACAGTGAACACCCATAACTTCATTAATCTATCATCTTACTGACTCACTACAGAGACTCACTTTTCACTTTACTGGTGGCAGAGCTTTGGCCAATTTCACAGATTTTTAATATTCCAGAAAGTATGGCAATCAAACAAGATCTTATATGCAGAATATATTCACACAAATTATAGCATTGATGTATTCTTAATAGTACAAGTAATTCTTTCCAGGAATTTTGATATCAGATAAATAAACAAATAACTGATCTTCTATGATACAGGAGGAAAACCTTGGGTTAGGGAGCTGGGTTTCCTGTGTATGTGTCTTGGCTCTAACATTTAAAGGCTATGCAATCCTGAGTGTACCTGTTAGTTTCTAGCCTAGAGATCACTCAAGTGTAAGTTGAAAGAGTTGCTTAGACAGTGTTTGAGACCCTTACCACTGTAAACATGCAATGGGTACGCACTGAGGTTTAATTTGAATTACTTAAAAAAACAATCAAATTTGAAAGGAGGTGTTCAAAGGGTATTTTTCTGATATGACATTCCTCAGGTTCAGTTTATTTGTGGATCCCAAATAATGGGTGGCATGGAGAATTATTAATTATTTAATCAGTACTTTATCCATGATTGATGTTAATGAACTACTGGATCACAGGAGATCTTGACAGTATGCAGAAGTGAAAACAAAGTCTTTGTGATAGTGTAGAATAAAATTAGGGTAGCTGTGTTTGCCAGTTTTCCTCAGGCAGTCCTAATTGATGTCTATTCTCCCGACATTGTTATTATCAGTGGTTTCTTTCACTCTTTAGCTCCAGTTCGGTTGAAATGTGAATTGTGTATTGTGTGTTGGTTATAATAAGTATAATTCAAGTATAAATAAAAAGTCACTATGATTAGAACTTAAATCCTTTAATTATTGCATAGCTGATTTTTATGTTCACTAGAAATGAAATATCCCCACACATGACTATCACCTCATAGTCAGAAGGTGACTGAAAATATGATTAGACTGAGGTCACAGTGCCAGCCTCACAATAGAGTGGTGAGTTACCCCCTCACACTGGGGTGTTCTGGTGACTGTTACTAGTTCATGTTTTCTTCCTTCCTGTAATGCACAAGCTCCTCAGGCCTGCAGAGTGTAATAGGACCACCGTATTTTTAAAGGCTCTAGATAAGCTCAGTAGACATGATCTCTTTGTGTTTCATTACCACTGAGGTTAATAGCTTTCTGGAAATGACCACTTGCTTCCTTCCTGGCTCTCTGCACTTGAAAGATTACTTGGGAGGATTTACAGCAACAGTTGTAGAAACAAAAAGTCAAGGAGATGGCCATTGCCTTCCCAATTGTCATTTTCTTCTCTATGTCATATAATAGAAACAGTTGTGTGTAGTTAAGGTTAGTAGAGTCCTCCAAGACTCAGCATCTTTATATACATAGTCCATTAAACAGTTAGAATGTCTTAGCAGGCGTCATCCTTCTAGGCTCTTATTTACAACTGTTATGTCTATACTGGAATGAATTAATCTGGTCTCTAAGCATGTGGTTAGATGGTTGAATGCTGATGAGATGCATGTGTTTCTTAATGTGCAATTACGTGTGTTTGTGCGTGTGCCTGTGAGCCTGCCTGTGGGTAAGTGTGAGTGTGAGTGTGTGTGTGTGTGTGTGTGTGTGTGTGTGTGTGTGTGTGTGTAGCTATCCCTTCTTGCTGTGAATGACCTCTTACTCAGAATTGCTCATTAGCCTGTTTCTCTCTTCAGTTTCACAATAAGGTGACCTGCTTCATGCTGCATCACATCGAGGAACCCTGCTCTCTGGGGGCCCATGCTGCTGTCATTGTCCCGCCCACCTGGATCATTAAGGTGAAGAAACCTCAGGTAACTGCAGGATCCTGGTGCTGCTGGTCTAGTGTAGAGGAAAAGAAACTGTTTAGATTTGCTTTTCTCCTTCAATAGTCTTCAGGCACCTATCACCTCCACACATTCGTCCCTGTGGTCTGGTGCTTAGCTACCAGGCTCATCTCACCAGCCCATCACTTGACCTCATTGGGCTCTCTCGTGGAACCAGACTCCCATCCTCACAAAAACCCAGTTTCACAGCAAGGATGTGTCCTCCTCATCCATGTGTAATGATGCTCTATGAAGGCAGGTTTCCTGAGTTTCAGTGAGGATACAGTGGATTCTTACATGATCTCTTCTCTTCCAAGCCTGAGAGGAGTCAACAGAGAGCAAGGTTGGCAAGGAACATAGTTTGGTTAAGATTTCTGCCAATCTAAAGGGCAGACTGTGAGTTATGACCTCCATTACATACAAGGCCTGCTTAGAGAGCCACAGTGTTTTCTTAAGGCGAATTGAATCTGCTATCTTAGTTCCTAATCCCGTTCTGTACTCTCAGTAGCCTTCCTGTTTAAGCCAATCTTTTTATTAGTCTGGGGGACTTTCCTGAGGATGTAGGGATTATCCTTGTAGGGATTATCCTTGTGTTTAAAAGGTGGATGGGATTTAGGGCAGTAGACTAGAGAACAAGTAGCAGGCAGGACAATAGTACACAGTGTACAAAATTATAGTCGTGGGCCTGTGAGTTGAGTTAGATCATACTAGGTCTCTGCTGAGGCATGCAGGAGGAAACGTCTAAAACAGTGGGAGGCCACTCTTGGTTAAGGGTGATTATATGGCTAAATTCTTATTCCAGAGTGCACAATAATGTTTTAGCTATATTTGTGTTTCCCTAGGAAGTAGAATATTTGTGGAGCTATGTATCTCATCTTATCCGTCTTTAGCCATCATACTGAATATAATGCGTCCATGAACATGGCTAATTAAATGCTGACTTAATTAACATCTTCTTGACCTTTTATATTTTGAAGAATATGATAGAGGAACATTAGAATGTGAACACAGATGTGTAGATACATACACACACACACACACACAGACACACACACATACATGTAGTGAGAGATGAGGTGGATAGACAGATAGATGATAGGAAGACAGGCAGGTGATAGGGATTCCCAAAGTTGGACAGCCATCCTACTCTACTATACCCCCACCTTCCTTCTTCTAAGCTGCTTCTCAATGACTCCAAGGGGTTTTCTGACATTTTTTTGTCCCCATGTTATTAACAGCTCACCTCCAATGAGCTGCACTCTATAATTTATGGGTCTGCCAGTCATAATCTGATCACAAACTCAAGTGTGACGGTCAACCTCTGATTTTACAGTTACGGAGTTCAACATCTTTCCATCTGTCGTAACGGGACCCTGCTAACAGCACTACCCCCACTTGGCAGGGTTCCCTTTTCTGATTGTTTTCCTACACACTTTGGCTGGGTTTCCCTTCTAAAACACTGTTCTTACTTGATCACTTCTTTTCTGTAAGAAAGCCTACTGCTTCAGAATAAAGTCTGCATGAATCAAGAATCTGCCCGCCATCAGGCCCGAGCAACATCCAGTTCCCCCTGTAAGCCAGCCTTCCTTTCCCAGAATCTATGAATAATGTTTTATATATGTTGATGTCTCCCCTAGGGAGCATAAACCCATGGGATTGAGTTGTGACACTGTAGTTTTTGAAGGGAGGATTGTGCTTAGTCTTTTAGTTTAATGCTTAATGCATAATGACCAATATACACACATTATTCCTGTACAAAAGAAACTTCAGATAAAAGATGTCCCCTTTCACTAACATATAAAATTTTAGACACCTCCTGGCTTTTCCATCACATACCCATGTTTTCACTACTGGTTTATAGGCATAGAAATGTACCATTAGACTAGATACAGAACTGTAGTGTGTACAGGGTTGAGGGTGGTTAATGAGTGATGCTGTACTACCGATAATTCTTCAGAACTCACTTAGCTTTAAAAAATGAATCTTGGGTAGATGTTTCTAGTAGTACACATAGTCCTAAATCATTTAAGCTGTTCCCATTCAGCAGACATTTGGTCCACATCCCTACTGGTAGATGTTTATATTGTTCCTAATGACCTGTTTACAAACAGTACTGTGTTCAACCCTTCCTATTCCTGAATGAGGTTTTCTTTTTCTTGCTAGTTTTCTTTCTTTCTTGTCTTATTGTGACTGGATGATCTTTCATTGCCGGAGTACCGTGAAATGGAATAGCAGATTTTATTCAGTGACTAACATAATCCCTCAGACTTGCTTAAACTATTTCCTTGGGTGAATTATGAAGATCAATTAGCACGCATGATTTGATGTGACTTGGAGCTTTTGAGACCTGCTCCTCAACTTTGGGGACAAGTTTTCTTTGTTATCTACTGTCGTCAGAACCACCTTAATTCCAGTGGGGTGTCCGGAGCAGGAGGTGAGCATCACTTGAATAACCAAAGCTCTGCCTTCTTCCTTCTATGACCTGTCAAACTGTTGTCTTGTATTTGTGGGAGAGACTTCCTTTGTTATAATGAAGTGATATATCATTTTTAGGTCTTTTAATATAACCAATAATTTATGATCCCATAACCTGGAAAAAATCCCTCCAGGGTAATAGAGCTAAAGTTTTGTTTACAGTTAAATGATTCATCCATAAGGACTTCTTAACTGCCCAGGAAGGAGTCATAACTCTGATAATGGTTTGGTTGATAGGATTACTTTCTTGGCAAGGTGAGATTGCTCTGACACCTGGTCCAAGAAAACAAAGGGCCTTTATTTTTTCTGATATCTTCACAGAAGGATAGGCATAAAATGCCTAGAAGGCAACTGCTGTTGATATCAAAAGGCCATGAAAACCAGTCCGAATAGTGTTGATCTTGTAAGGGAATCAGGGCACTGAGTTAGCTGCCCTTGCTAGAATAAGCAGGCTTTGTTTTAGAACATTGGAGAAGTGTGAAAGGTTTCTCGACTCTTCATCACCAATACTTTACAATAAGTTTTAGACATTGCCTCTATATTCTCACAAAGCAGGCTACTTTGTTGAATTCCCCAGTACCAACCCTGGCAGGGCAAGCTTTGCTGTAAATTAGTGCAGATAGGTATCTTAGCTTGTCATGGCTGTGGTACATTCCAAATCTGCCTTCGTAGCCATCTCTTCCTCTCAAGATGCTGCTGCCTTGCAAGTGAAGTGATGTTGGACATTTGTACTCAAACAGAAGGGAGCCGTCTGAATAATGAGGTGTACTGGGAAATTCCAGAGTACTTGCTATTGCTCTTTGATCATTCTTGATGCTATAAACTTCCTTAAATCTCAGACATGCCTGGATACTCTGAGTCAATCACTGTACTTGTTCTGTAGAGAAAGCCCCAGGTGCATGGGTCTCAGGGAGGCTCAGAGGCACTTACTACATCTGTTGAAAAACTGCTTTGTGTGTCTGCTTCTTACTCAAGTTGAATTGCTTGCCTACTGTATTTCCCAAATGTGCTTGACCGTCAGAATCACCCAAAATGCTGTATGTGTTATAAGTTTAAGAAAGCTGTATAAGATCTTCACCTGATGCAGTAGAACTACATCTTGGAATTTAATTGTTGAACTCTGTCATGAACCAAGGCCCCTAGTGTGTTCCTGCAAGCAACTGATATTTGTATTTATTCAGTCTAGGCAGGAAATGAGCTGAAACACCAAAGTAGTGGGGAGACAAGCCATCATATCCTAGGCATGATTATGCAAACCAGAAGAGGCTTAGTAAATACTGTTAGTTATATAATGTTTATTCATTGTTTTGACCATGATTGGGGTATGATTGTGCACAAAGGATTTGTGCTGGGTAGTGAGGTTAACGGATGTGAACAGATACATATTATGGAATGGATGCAAAACCAACTGCTTCACATATGCCTTTTCTTGTTTAAACTTTACAACTGTCCTGTGAGGTAGGTATTATCACTTCATGCTAAAACTAAGAGCCTGTTGTATTAACCATTTGCCTGACTCAGTAAAGTGCATGCATCTCATCATAGGGAGCTGATGATGGATTCTTACAAATCCATCAGGCTCATGGTCCTCCTGGTGATCTACTTCACTGGGGTCTCTTTAATGCCACTTTTCAGTTACAAACCCACATTTTCAGCATCATACATGATAGTATCACTTGGGAAGCTTTTAATCTTTGCTTTGACTTCACTTCAAACAGATTAATACAGGGTCTAGGGCTGAACATTTTTAAAAGCTGTCTGAGTAAGGCCAGTATGTAATGCTGGTTGAGGAATGCTTAGAGCATCGTTTGATGGCACCCAGTGGAAGCTTCTCCTGTGGTCTCAGCTCTTCCAGGCTCCACATTATCCCTTCTACATAAGTGAAATTTATTGAAATATGGCATTGGCCTTTAAAATTAAAAAGAGATAAAAAGTCCCTTTAGCCTAGGAATTTAGAAGCCAGGAGATCTGTTTGCAGGGAAAGTGTGGTCAACAATGAATAGTGAAGAAAGCTCTAGAGTCAGGAGCACCCAGTTTCACGAATCTCTTTTCTGGAGAGTCTCCAAGAGCCCGAAGACCTTTTCCTTTGATGGAAGAAGAAAACCTGGGATGCATGGTGGTCCTTCAAAAATTTCCCCAGCCTTGGTGAACATGGGGTACACATCATTTTGCTTGCTTGCTTTCCTTCCTTCTTTCCTTCCTTCAGCTTCTCTCTCTCTCTCTCTCTCTCTCTCTCTCTCTCTCTCTCTCTCTCTCTCTCTTTCTTCTTTATCTCAGCAAAAGTGAAATAAATACTAGCTCATTTGGATCTTGTTGAATTTGATGCATTAATTTCTGTGTTCTAATGTTTAGTTTTGAATGTGCTAAGAAGAAAATACTTGTAGATTAGCTATTTGAATTTCTTCAAGCTAGTTTGAAAACTATTAACTGCTCAAATAATGTAAGTGTGTATTCTAATGTCAACTTCTAAGTTAAGAATTCTGCATTTCAGGCTCTCAACACTTGGTCAAACATCTATTATATGGTCAGTACTATCTTACATTTGTGAAGATACAATCTAATAGATATTGAGTCCACTAATTAAATCTGATTTATGTTTGGTTTTTAACCAGTAAGTGTGATTGTCCTGTAAGAGTTCCTCCTCCAAGTATTTAGAGAAAATATTAAGAGAAAATGGTTAGTCAAAGTAATCACGAATTGTGGTTCATAAACTTTCTAGAAAGAGAAACTAAAATTAAGGGTTACTATATGTCAACAACTTGGAGTTACTTCCATAGAAATGTTCAAAGCTACTTAGTGGAGAGAAGACATTTTAGTTAATGGATCTTCAGACAGAGAAAGAAAGAGTAATGTTCACCACTGCACTATTATATAATGATAAGGTATTGTCCAAGCATTTAAAATATTATGCATCAGTGTTGATAAGATAGTTGGATTGTGAAGTTCTACTGGGGTCAAGTGTTATTTTATAACGATTACTAAAGCAGATCATAAAAAGTAAACAAAGAAGGAAAATGAAAAAAAGAAAAAGAAAAACATAAAAAAAATGGCCTCCTTTTTTACATTTCCACATAGGTGATCTCCATACCAGGAGATGAACTTGAACTTGGTTGGGCGGGAGACGGACCTGGTTGGGCGGGAGACTGGAGCCCCTCAGAGAATTTGGGATTCTTCCATTTTTACTGGGAGGGTTGGCAGGTATACCATGTGTTGTTATGTGAGTCCATAAGAGCCCCCGCAGCTCTAACTCCCTGCCTCCATGTGGCGGGGAGTCAGTTGCTCACTCTGGAGCACTGGTTTCTGTCTGTGGCTTACCCATGAGCAGTGGCTTGGAAGTGTCAAAGCATGAGAAGCATGCAGTCAACAGCATGCGCTGCTGTCCTCTTCTACATGGTTGTGCGTGGAAACGCTGGGGCTGCCTGCCTCTGAGTTTAGCTGCTCCCTTCTTTCCCCACAGAACTCCCTGAAGGCTTCCAGTCGGAAGAAGAAAAGAACAAGCTTTAAAAGGAAAGCCAGTAAAAGAGGAACTGAGGTAAGTCTTTCAGAGAAGTGTGTTAGACATACAGCTTCCTTAGCCCTGAGGATCTGGCCCACACTCACTCTTGTGATGTGCCTTCTACACTCCCTTTGTCCTTCAGCCCATTCTACTTGCATTGGAATCCTTCCTGTTCCAGATCTACCAACCTATCCATCAATTAGTCAAATCTGACCTGCTTTATCAGAGTCAGAGCATCTGGCCCTGCCTGGAATGTCTTCTCCAAAGTGACGGTGATGATAAAGATGACAGTGAGAACTGCCACTTCTAGAACTCCTAGAGTATGCAGAATAAAATGCAAAGCGTAGCTCAGTTTTCTGGAGTAAATTACAGTAGGAGGTGCTTTCTCCCAGGTGATGTGCACACACTGCCATCTTCATGCCTCATGAAATAAGACTCAGAGTCCTAGGGGTCCACCGGGTTCACCCTTCCCTTGCTTTGTGATTGCTTCCAAGCTGTGGGTATTGATCCTAATAGTGCTGCCTGCCTCTTCCAGCAGGAAAACAAAGGCCGTCCTTTTGTGATCAAGCCCATATCCTCTCCTCTCATGAAGCCTTTGCTTGTGTTTGTGAACCCAAAGAGTGGGGGCAACCAGGTGAGTCATTTTTCACGAGTTTAGCTTTGACTCTTTGATACGTCAAAGACACAATCCCCAGTACGAAATAAAAGAGCATCCCAAGGGCACAGCATCTGAGGTGTGCCAGGACCAGGGGCAAAACTCCTAGAGTTCGCAGCCTGCCCTTCTTCCATACACAGCCAGACCAGACCGACAGTTTCCTAAAGATATTCTAGAAGGATCCTTCCAGAATTTCTCTTTGTTAATAGGTTTCAGTGCAAAGCAAAGAAAGGTTTATCCATGTTCAGTGTGGCTACACCGAGGAAGAGGAGAGAAAATGGAAGGGTTGAGTGGCCCCTACGTCCGTCTTCCCTAAGTTTTCATGATTAGGAATACCAACTTGTCTGTATTTCTTCCAGTTATAGTTTAACCTGACTCCCTTTTCCCTGCCCTCGGGGAAAAGAGCAACCAGAGTTCATTTGTCACAATTGTACCTTAAGGCCAGAGAAATAATCTGTTTCTAAAGACTTCATTATTCCTTCTGCTCTCTGCCCATTTCTTTCAGTGTAGCTTAATATTGACCCCGTTTCAGAATACAAATATATCCTTACAGACGTTAATGGCATTCCTACAGTAACCTTGCTTTGTAAGAACAAGGTTTTCTCTATAATCTAGTCCTTTATCTTTTTATCCATTTCTCTTCTGCTCCCTGGGGCTTCTTACTAAGACTCCGCTGTGGGCTTTGATTTTTCTGTTATTTTCTTGGGAACTTGGATGTGAAAATACTTTTTTTTTCTGACCATTAAGTCTACACTTGATCCTTCAAGGCAAGACTCTTGGGAGGGTCACCATCAACAAATAGAGATGTGAGACTTTAATCACCCATATTAGGAAAGATGTCATGGCCTGCCTGCCATCAGGGTTTTGACTGGATCCTCCAAGTGGTGTCATTTTCAGATAATGGATGTTTCCCAGGATGAACTGACCACGGTGAGACTTGTCATATGAGAGCCTATGATTGAAAGGAACTCCTGTCTCCTCCTCCTTCTTTAAGACTCCTGGTCACTTGCAATATTAAAAATCAATCTCAGTACCATGGAGAACAGATGTTATAACAAAGAAACAATTTATTTTCCATAACCTTCATTTTTGTGTCTGTTAGTGATGATGTCCTTCCTCTTCTAATGATGTGTCTCTATAATAATCAGTAGAAAGGGACCACGTGATGAGTTTCTTAGGACTGATGTTCAGTTTGCCCTGAAACACACCCACTCAGGGGCTGGGCTCCCCGTAGCCTAGCAAGGGTGAGTGGAGCAGTTGAGAATCAAGAAATGGAGCAAAGTAGATGCAATTAGTTTCATAGTTTGGGTGGTCTGAGCATTGCAAGCTAGTTAGCATCAGCTGTATTTTATCAAGGCACTCCCTACATAAGCATATTTTTTTTTTGAGATAGGATCTCAAGTAGCCCAAGCTGGCTTTGAGCTCACTGTATGGTCAAGAATGACCTCAAACTTCCTGACCTCTCCCTCTCCCTCTTGAGTGCTGACATTGTAGCATGTGCCACCATTCCTGATTAATGCGATGCTGCTGAGGACAGCACCCAAGATTTCATGGATGCTAGGCAAACACTCTACCACATGAGCTACATCCCCAGCCCTGAAGTGAATTCATTAACCATGCTAAGAACCGCCCTGCAGTGGACACTCAGATGTTTTTTTCATTTTGCCTGCCTTCGTGAGGCCAGCAAGTCATTTAAGATATTCTTGTTCTAGTCTCTACAAATTAATAGTGATGGAGACTTCATACATTATCTAATGCTGCTTCCAAGTTCATTAAGTACTAACAGACCAAGGAATCTTAAGTGAATTTGGAGGACATCTTTTTTTTATTTTATTTTGCAATACAATTCAGTTCTACATATCAGCCATGGATTCCCTTGTTCTCCCCCCTCCCGCCCTCCTCACCTTCCCCCCAGCCCACCCCCCATCCCCACCTCCTCCAGGGCAAAGCCTTCCCCGCGGACTGAGATCAACCTGGTAGACTCAGTCCATGTAGGTCCAGTCCCCTCCTCCCAGACTGAGCCAAGCGATCCTGAAGACATAAAAGGGACTATTGGGGGGAAATAAGTCAGGTGTCATTTGTTGTGTGTCCTAAACTGAGTGAACCATACTGCAAGAGCTGTGGAATTCCAGAGGGAAACAGTGACTTTGGCATGATAAAGAAATAGTGTCTTGTAAGGAGTTGAACTAGGAGAGGGTACTATGTAGTTACAGGGAGGAAGGACTATGAGAGGAAAGTCCCCTTTCTTCTCAACCGTGGGAAGTTTCTGATCATCCTTCAAGGCTCCCCAGTGCCTGTCTAAACCAGTTATCAAAATCAGTCACCCTCTCCACCTGGGATGCACCCACCTGTCCATCTACGATAGTGGTAGTGTTCTCTGGGTGTGTGTTCTCTTGGAATGTAGGTGTCAGCAAACTAGGGGGCTGCATCTTTCAATCCTGGATTTCTAGAGCATGGTGCATAGTAAGCAAACAACTGTATAGTGAGAAATACAAAAAACAGAGTAGATGTGGGGCAGGAATTCTGCATTTCAATGACGCTGTGGTGAGTAGGTCATGCAGAAAAACTACAGGATATATGACACAGGATAAAGATTAGAACCAGCCCATGGAAAATGCTTTAAAAAGTGGGTTTGTGCTATGGAAACTGGGTTTAAAGCTCTTTGCTTTTTAAAATCTTCTGGCTTATGAACAGAAAGGTGACATGGCGAAGGTTAGTGTGCAGAGATACTCACTCGAGAGCCTGTTAGGGCTCAGGTGCCATCTCAGGAAGTCAGGGTGGCCCTGAGTTCCCTGGGTTGACCCCTATTTCTCCCATGTTCCAGATGCTGCCTCTGCCTTAGGGGACAGATCTCACTGCCTGACCGGGGCTTCCTGCTACAATATGTGGGGTAGGGTGTGGGCATATTCTGATTTTTGCATTTTGATTAATTAACAATTAATGATTCAATTATTCCACTCATCTGATTGTAGGTAAAGAGCATTCCTGACTCATTTCCTCTCTGAAGTGTAGGCTCCAAAACTTTCTTAACTTGCATTAGTCTTTAGTAAATAACTAGATGATATTGCCATCTAGTGGCTAGAAAAAGAACTGTTTCTCCCCTACCCCGCCCCTTGCTTCCTTAGGAATGGAAGAAAAAAAAATAACGTCAACATTTTGAAGGATTATATTGGGCTAAACATACACCATGACTGTTTCTGTTAAACGACACATTATTCCATCACCCTTCCTTTTAATCTTCACAATAGTTGTCTCTATTTTTTCCAGCACCATTAGGGTACACATGACCTGGTATTTTGTAAAGGTTTAGACACTGGTTGTACTGTTGGTACCAAAAATATTTGAGGAGACAGGTACTGGGCTCAAGGACTAAAACATTAGCTTTGAATTACTCTTCCTGTGGGAGGGGGACTGAAGGTAGGGGACAGATTTACTCCAACACAGTTCCCTCCTCTGTGTAGGAAGTTGGGACACCCCACTCCTACACCACCCCTCTCCCCATTTACTGAGTTCAGTGTCTCTTTTTGTGTTATTTAATATGGGTTCAAAGTTGCACAGATGTTAGCCACTAGAATAGATGATCTCCATAGTCCTGGGAGTTGAGGGATTGAGATGCTGCTTACAATGTCCAATGTGTAGTTCCACGTCAGATATGAGGTAGGAGCTTGATTCTTGGACCAGAGCTCTTGGGCTCCAACTAAGCAGAAGGATGCGGACAAGTGGGGGTAGCTGCTGGTGGACAGGTTCATGCTGGCTGAGTCCATACCACCTCCTCTGAACCAGTGTTCCCCCAGCAAAGCTGCTCTCCTAAGTCAGGAGTCAGTCGCACCAATATGGACATGGGGAGCAGATAAAGAAAGTGACTTCCAAGGAGAACTCTGATTCCATAAACCGTCTCCAAAATACTTGGATGCACAGTCTCAGTGAAATAGTTAGATTTTTGAAGTGCTGGGAAATTTTCAACTTGGAGCTCAATAAAACTTGATCGTTTTCTACAAATTCAGGCTTCTGTGGGTCAGACTGGTTTGGAGAGGGAGCCAAGAGACAGTAATTAGATGAGGGGACACAGCAAAATCCAGATTGCCAGAGCAATCTCAACAGATGAGATGAAAACAACACAAGCCACAGATTTGCTGAATGCCCCCTTTTTTATGTTGCACAATTGTGAGCATGCGCAGTGGGAAGAAGCTAAGACACAACCCAAGCCGTCTGGTTCTTTGACAGCCGAAAGCATACCTGTCGGTAGCTGCAGTGGCGACGTGGAAAGGTGACAGTCTGGCTTTCCTCAGGAAAACATCGCAGTGACTACTTCCCACAAAGCCAAGGCCAGACATTTTAGCACACAGGACTTAGTCTGTGGCTGGCTCCAGTTGCCTCATCTTGCACCACTTCCTGCCAAATGTAGTTTTTCTGTGGCATGTCGTGTTCTTTTACACCTCTAGTGACTTCACCCTGGCTCTTCACCCTCCCTCTGCTCCTATGGAAAGAGACTGCTCTACTCAACTTCCACGACCAAACTCAAATGGTGTGCTTCAGATACCTTCGTCTGATCTGAACATGTGCTTAGACAGTATCTCCCCTGGGTGGCTGTGCTTCTCACTGGACAGCTGTGGCACAGCATTTACTGGCTTCAGTGAATTAATCCGTTTCATGTTGGTTTCCTTCCAGTAGAGGCTGTGTGCTCCTGAGTACATGCCCGAACACAGAACAGAAGCTAAATCCACAATTGCTGATTAAGTGGTGGGTTCTTTGGGATTGTGTGTACCGGAAATAGTTATTCCTAAGCTCTTCTCCCCACGGATCCTTTTCCTCCAGCTTGCTTATTGTCTGGTCAGGTGTTTTCGTGTTGATTATCTACATCATGCCTACATGATATGAACTGGGGCTTAGTGATGCTATAGGATGCTTTTGCAGGATACCCAGGCAGTACTCTGGTGGAGAGCTGTATGCTGCGGACAGGGCTGTTCTGAATGGCTCCTCCATCCTGGTCAGATTTTGCTTTATGAATATTGCATAGATCTTTCTTGTGCAGCCAGGGGATCCCTGTTTGATTCATCTCCCACCTAAAGCTGCCACACACATAAGAGTGGGCGGTGGGGCTGTGACTGCATCTTCTTCATGCCTATAATATCCCACCTGCTTTCCAAGAAGCTGCATTTTCCCACAGCCAAATGGGAAAGGATAACATTCTTCAGCCCGCTCCCAAGAGTACCCAATCACATAATAGGTAAAAAGCTCAGTGGTCCGCAAGTTAGTGTACCTGTGAGTTGAACTGAAATTTATGAGCACCACTTTCTTTCCCCATTCAAGAAAACCAGACTCCTGCATAGAAGTTGCAGGCACTGCATTTGGCGTGCCGCATGTGAGAGCTGTCATGTGCTTAGACTTGCTAGTGAGAGTTGTGTAAATGACTGAGTAGAATTCATCTCAACACCGAGAAAGATGCAAATTACCCATTTTCAGTGAATCCTGTTTGTGTGACCATTTGGTTCCCTTTACTTAATTACCTCTGTGAAAGTAGCTTATCCTAGCGCTAGAGGCAGTCAGTGGAGCTCATTTAAATGTGGGCGTGTCTAACTTCTTGTGAGCCTCTAGCTTGTATGCCCTGCTCACTAGGATTGCTTAAAAGAAATGCTTTCATCGAAATTCTTGTCATTTCTCTTCATTTTGGAAATAAGATTCGTGTGTGTGTGTGTGTGTGTGTGTGTGTGAGAGAGAGAGAGAGAGAGAGAGAGAGAGAGAGAGAGAGAGAGAGAGAGAGAGTCCATGCCTGGTGTCCTTCTCAATCACGTCTCTTGGTCTGTCTTCAGTGGTAGAACTCAGAGCTCACTGATTTGGCTGGCCTGGCTGGCCAGCCAGCTCCAGGAATATGCCTGTCTCCACCTCCCTGGTGTTGTGTTGGGGGTTCTAAGTGTATGCCTGGCTTTTTAAAGTGGGTGCTTGAGATCGAAACTCAGCTTCTTCATCCTTTTCATAGCAAGTGCTTCACCCATTCTCCTTCCTCCCTGACGTTACTCTTTAACAGAAGTTAAGTCTATCCATGTGTGGAGGTGGCCAAGCATCGTTGCGTAAGTTACTCCTGCTCCAGTCCAGGGCTGCCAGTGTGAGAGACTGATCCGAGAATAGACTCTTTGGGGCGTAGAAAGAACAACTTGCCAGGCTTTGTAGCCGTTTCTCTCTTGAAGGATACACTGAGATAATTAGGTGTTCCAGTGAACACAGATTTAAAATGAGCAAAAGGGGAACAGAGCAGCCGATCAGGTCTGTTATAGGAATTTTAGGCTAAGCAAAGCAACCTCCCTCTGCTTTATATTTTCATTTCTTGAAAGCTGTTAATTATCTCACATTGTATGCATAGTAGGAGAAGCTGAAATTGAGACGTGCACTCTACCGTAGCAGAGGTGGAAAGGCATAATTAACATCAGCCATTCATGCTACTTTAGGAATCAGAAACAGAAAAATTGACTTTCTATCCAGTTAGTGGGAGGTGTTCTAGAAATTAGTTGGTCATTAAAGCAATGCTTATGTTAGTTATTTAACATACAATCTGATCAAAATAATCCTAATGCACTTGGTAGCAAGGCCCAGCATGGAAAGAAAGAAAATGATGTCCATGTTGCTGGTATGATGTCCCCAAATCCATATTTGTGTTTGATAGGGAGCAAAATATATATCATTTGGTGAGGCTGAAGGAGGTGTTCTGATAATTAAGAATGGAATGTTATTCCCCAAATTACAGCAAGCATGTGATAAGGCAGAACTTTTAGATTACAGCTTACAGATTTAGATTACAGGGGAATCTGAGGAACAAAAGAGCTGCATTGGCTCCTATACCAACTGACGAAGTAGTCAGATAATTAGAAGCACAGGGTGACCCCACGCCAGCATGTGTAATTGAACAAATGGATTAACAAAGGGTAAAGAAGAATGAGACCAGTATGTACTGAGGTCTCTTCTGTGCCACATGCTGGGCTAGATGCAGAACCATCAGTCAGTCAGATGATTCACATAATCACCCTGGAAGGTAGACCTCCCTTTTCATTTACATACCACACCTATGCCAGATTCTGAGCGCTCTCCCTCACATAGAACAGACTTGTTAGCTCTCACCCCATGTCTGAAGCTCTTCCCACACTGCCAGGGTAGCCCTTCAACACAGTGGATTAGACATGCAAACAGGAATTGTTTATGAAAAGATCAGGGCTCTACTAAGGAACAGCATTGCACTTGACAACCATAAAATGATCAAAATACTACTTGCTGTGGTTGATAGAAATGAATTATTCTGCTCAGTTTTTCAAGCTCTGTGGATATTGGTTAATTTAAAAAGGATTATTTGTTTCTTTTTTCCCTTCAGTACACTTTAAGAATCATTTAAACTACCTTTTGTCTGTCCCAGTGGTCATCTTTATGAATATCACAGTTTCTTAAACTGTTGCAGGTGACTGAGGAGGGTTAGGATTAAGCTGACACAGACATGTAGATCAGAAAGAGTCAAAATAGGCTATGATAGTATTAGCTGATGAACCAGCCCACGTCATTTAACATTAAATTTTATTGTTTAGATTATTATTGTCCATATATTGTATGAATTATGGGTAATAGTAGCTAGTTATGAATTTATTGAAATAATTTTTCTCTGTGAAGCTAAAGAATAAATGAAAGCATATATATTATATTTATAAAAGGTTAGTTCTACTTATATATATAACAATTTTTTTGATACAGGCTGTTACTGTATAATCCAAACTGGATTTGAATTCACAGTCTTTGACTCTGTATCTTAAATGCTAGGATTATGGGCCCAGGTCACCATGCCAGGCACACATAAAATATATGTACTCCATTTCTTCTGCCTCAATGAGAAAAGTTATTTTAATAAAAGCACAAGTAACTAATATTTCCTGTGTTTCTATGTTCAGACAAAGTAAAAATGGATGTTAAATGACACAGGCTAGCTACTTTCCTATCTGGGCTTTTGCTATTACGTTGTGATACCAAACTCTTAAATACAGTTTATTAAACACATGTCACACATTACTGCAATTGAGCCTTGGAGAAGTGGGCACTCTCCACTCTATATCAAAGAGAACACATGGTCTAATGAAATTATCCAGATTGGACAACCATTTCAGCTAGACATATACTCTGTGTGTATCTACAATCAAAGCTCACGATTTTGACTGTGCTCCATATGGTTTGTAATCAAATGTTATTTAAAGGATTTGCTTAATTTGTGTGTGTGTGTGTGTGTGTGTGTGTGTGTGTGTGTGTGTGTATGTATGTGTGTGTGTGCCTGCCAAGGCCATAGGCATCAGATCCTCTTTGAGGGGCTTGAGTTACAGGCAGTTATGAGCTACCTATTGTGAGTTCTAGGGACGGAATGGAGCCCCTCTGCAAGAGCAGTACGTACTCTGAAGCTCTGTGCCTTGTCTCCAGACCCCTTAGTTAAGATTTAAGAGAGAATGACTGAGTTTTATTTTCTAGTTCAGAAAATTTTGTCTCCTGTTTGTTTGTTTGTTTATTTATTTATTTATTTATTTATTTATTTATTTATTCCTTCCTTTATAGGGAACCAAAGTCCTTCAGATGTTCATGTGGTACCTGAATCCACGGCAAGTCTTTGATCTTTCTCAGGAAGGGCCAAAAGATGCGTAAGTCTGGAAACCTCCCTCTGCCCATGGGCCTTCTGAATTTTAGGCAAGTGAGGACCCTAGGATTGGGAGGGGGGGTCAAGGTTATTTATTATCTCATGGTCTGCTGAAGTTTTTCCTGTTCATCTCTTAATAACTTTCTTGCCTGTATTTTGCTTTGCTTGAAACCTTCTCATGCCCCACCCACCCACTGTCACTGCGTTAGTTTCCATCAAACCACTGTCTGATCAATTGTGGGGTCAGTGCTCACTTTTCTGGTGCTTGCTGTGTGTGTGTGTGTGTGTGTGTGTGTGTGTGTGTGTGTGTGTGTGTGTGTGTGTGTGACTAAAGCTTATTCTCAGAAGGTCAGGGGGTGAGAAAGGAGGCCTTGCTCCTCTGTTTATTCATGTCCAATTTGGAGATACATTTTAGCAGAAATGTAAGTTTATAACCAAGGGATCAACATAAGTATGAATAAACATCTGATCTAGAGAGATTGTGTGTATGTGTGTGTGTGTGTGTGTGTGTGTGTGTGTGTGTGTGTGTATATGCATCCAGAATGTTTGTGTGGGGGTAATGGAGAAAGGAGAAGAAAAAAGAGAGAGGAGAAGGAAAGAGAGGGAAAGATGGATAGATAGGTGGATGGATGGATGGAGGGAGAGAGGGAGGGAGGGAGGGAAGGGAGGGAGGAAGAGAGGAAGGGAGAGAGAAGGGGGAGGGAGGGAGGGCAGGAAGGGGTGGGAGGTATTCAGATAAACCAATTGTAGCTTTGGGTGCTACAGTTCAGTGGGACAAGCATTTTAATTTCTCTTCCACCCCTCTCTGTATTTATGTGTTTGGTTAGCAGTGTTGAAGATGAGGTCTAGATGTACATGACTCCACATGGTGGGAAAGAGCAGGGGTGTTGACATTACTGTTTGCTTCCCTGTCCTAGGCCCATTACATTGCTAAGATGGTTCTGATGACATGAGGTGGCAGTTATTTTTGATAAAAGTGATGACGGAGTGAAAGACTTGTCACTATGAATGGTCTCTAGAAAAAGGCCTTCCTGTCCAAAACAGCTAAATTAAATATTTTAAACTTGTAAGGAAATAAGAATCATGGATAAGTTTCTATCATTCCCTGATTCTGCATTTCTTCCCCACCAAGGTCTGCTGTAAGACTTCTTTAATGTTTGTTAAAGAACCGCTTCTTGACTTTAAAGTAAAAATCTGCTTCCCTGGCTTGTGGTCATTTGGATTTTATATTTATTAAGATTTTTATATGACTTCAGTTATACCTTATGCAGATGTTTCATAAGGGTCATAGCGGGACAAGAAATCGTCTCAGTAAAACCCACACTATTATATATAAGTAGATGGTGGTTTCCAGAGCAGAGTTGCCGACACCTGCCTTCAGCAGGAGGCTTCGCAAGACAGAATGACTATGTTTCTTGAGATCCAATCAGAAAGATAAAATGACCTGACCCCAGGCAGGCACATTCAAAGTAAAGACAAGCCCGTGGACTTACCCTACCTCAGGCTGGCAGGGAGGAAAGGCTGGGTGAGTGGGTAACTAAGGTACATCCTGTAGGAAGGACAGTGGCGAGCCTTCTCCATCTTTCTGAAATTTTCCAGGATTAAGAGTGGAAAGTGTGGATTCAAAAGATAAGTAGACCCAGGAAAAGCCAATCAAAATTAAATAAGGAGGAAACACATAAAGATTACTGATTATCAGTTAATTAGGTGTTTCTCTGAGAAAGGAGAAGTGGTAGGAAATGGAGAAGAAAAAGGAAGTAAAAAACTAAAGAGGATGATAATGTGGCTTGGCAGGATGGTGGAGAATCATGAGAAGACTGGAGGATACTCCAGTTCCCATCCCAGTGCTGGTCATGGGACACCAGTGTCTGCTTCTGATCCCGTTGTGGGAGTCGGTTTGCCCTGGTCCTTTGGTTAATGGGTAGATCACAGTGTCCTTGGTGGGTCGTACCCATTCATTTTGCCCCGTGGTACCTCTCTGCAGAGAACAATGTGCTTACCTTGTCCTCCATTTCCTCTCCAGGCTGGAGTTGTACAGGAAGGTACCAAATCTGAGAATTCTGGCCTGTGGTGGGGATGGAACGGTAGGTCCTTGAAAGAGAATCTGTTCACTTCCTCCATCTATCTTCCTGACTGGGTTTCCTGTGGGAGATTTCTTTCTTCAGCCCGTGTCTTTGCAGCACCCCCACATGAATCCCTGTCTGCTGAGAGTCGTCACACCTAAAGCTGAGAAGGGCTTAGCTGTCCTCATGGGTGCACACTCAGCCTTCTCAGTCCTCATGAGTGCACACTCAGCCTTCCACAGTCCTCATGGGTGCACACTCAGCCTTCCACAGTCCTCATGAGTGCACACTCAGCCTTCTCAGTCCTCATGGGTGCACACTCAGCCTTCTCAGTCCTCGTGGGTGCACACTCAGCCTTCTCAGTCCTCATGGGTGCACACTCAGCCTTCTCAGTCCTCATAGGTGCACACTCAGCCTTCCATAGTCCTCATGAGTGCACACTCAGCCTTCTCAGTCCTCGTGGGTGCACACTCAGCCTTCTCAGTCCTCATGGGGTGCACACTCAGCCTTCTCAGTCCTCATGGGTGCACACTCAGCCTTCCCAGTCCTCGTGGGTGCACACTCAGCCTTCTCAGTCCTCGTGGGTGCACACTCAGCCTTCTCAGTCCTCATGGGTACACACTCAGCCTTCTCAGTCCTCATGAGTGCACACTCAGCCTTCTCAGTCCTACACCATTTTCTGTTGCAGAGTAAGGACGTTGTTTTCACTGGAATAAAGGTTTTCACAGATGGTTAAATCCCTTTTCAAATCCATGCTGACATATTTCCATTTATCCTTTCATAGCTGTCGTTTATTAATCAAATTTGTTTTTAAACCAATACATAAAAGCAAGAATACTACCACAAGCCCTTTGTCATTGTTAGTCATTCTTGAGAGTAGTTTCTTACTAAAATAAAATGCTGCCTCATCGTGGGTTTGATTAACTTTCCCCTATAGAAACGTTTATTGCGATTGCCCCTTTTAAATTGGGTTGTGTTTCTGTGATTGAGTTTTTTTAGTTCCTTGTTCAGTCTGGATATTAATCCTTTGTCAGATATATAGTTTGTAAAACAAACAAACAAACAAATGAATAAATATATAACATTGATAAACAAGACTCCCAGTTGTTACTCAGTTTATGCCTGATGACATCATAAACTGATAGTAACGTGAGGGAATCTGAAGATTCCCTATGCAAGCAGAATATGGGTCCTGGGGTCAAACTCAGGTCACCAGGCTTGTGTGTCAAGCACTTTACTCACTGAGACATCTACCAGGATCACCCTGCCCTTCCCTTGACTGCTTATCTTATTTTTTATTTTTAATTTAACATTTAGCTTTTAATTTTGCTGTTAATTTTCAGAATTTCTGTTTGTTTGTTTCTTTTCTGTTTACTTGTTTGTTTATGGTCCAATGAATGAGATGGCTCAGCAGGTAAAGGTACTTTCTGCCAAACCGGATGACCTGAGTTCAATTCCTGGGACCCACATGGTAGGGGGAAGATATGACTCTCAAAAGTTGGCCTCTATCTTTCACATGCAAATCGTGGCACATGCAAGAAGCACATGTATTCATTCATATTCTCTCTCTCTCTCTCTCTCTCTCTCGCCCGCTCCCTCCCCTTCTTTCAGACTCTCTCACAAACTAAATAAATAAAAAATTAAAATTCTTTCATCTTTGTTAAGTTTCCCTCTGCTTTTACTTGAGTTTCTTCAAAACAGCTCTTTTTAAATTCCCAGTCAAAAACGGTGCTCACACCAATTACAATGGTTACTCTCTCGTGCTTTATTTTCATGGTGGGTGAGGAGGCTGTGGTCTCCTGACAGTTCTTGGTGATGGTTGGTGACATCATCTGAGCATTGACAATTTAGGCTCTTGTTCCAGGCTTTGCACCTTGCTTTTGCTTTTGCCTTTCCTTGGAGAAACTCTCCCCCAACCTCTGCAGTGGCTTTTGCTATTTCAGTATTAGAAGATTGGTTCCCGCATTCACCATCGGTGCGTTGTCACAGTTCTAACACGAGAGGGCAGTCTAAGCCCATGTTTTATCCAATTCACCTGGTACGTAGTTTAGCTTGAACCAAATCATAACCTAAAAAGAGTCACCGACTCCCAAACCTTTCTGTAGATCTGGGCTTCACCTAAACACCCTATTCACAGCAACTTGCCTGTGCTCACAGAGAGACTGGTATCAGGCCCTTGGTCACTCATGCTGCAAAGCTGTTTTATACGATGAACCCACAGCTCCTCAAGACAGCCCTGAAGTAACACCAAGCAAGGTCCATGATGCCATGAGTTGTGAATGGTTGACATAGACTTATGGCCTAAGACAGCTAGAACCAGCTAAAGCTGGTGCTGGCCCAAACAGAAGTCTGATAGACTGGGGCCATATGTCTCCATTGGCACCAAGGTAGATAAGTCTAGAGGCCATTTTGCTACCACAGGCCTGGGAGTGGAAGCTTTTAAATCTTTCTCAGTGCCATGGCTGGCACTGGGTTCTAAGACTTAGTGCTGGACTAACTAACTTATCATCCGCAACTGGAATCTTACTCCACACTAGGCTGGTCAAGGTTGGAGTAGTGTTGGTTAAAGTAGTTTCTAATGGCAGTTTAGGTTGTACTTAAGTCCCCAAGCTCAAAGGGCCAGTACAGTCTCAGGTGTGAGGCTCATACCACAGCCAGAAGGGATGTGGCCAGTATGAGTCTTTCATAGTGAGGCTCAAGGTAAGTGGCTGGCACCAGTGATGCTGATGCAGGGCTAGGGCTCCATCCTTGAGCACTGGCTTGGGGATGGGCTGTGCTTAAATCTGAGGTCAGAGACTGCGCCTTGTCCGCTAGGACTGACACTAAGCTGGGTCACCCCAGAGTCTTACAACCATAGGGATCTGTGAAATCTTGGGACATCTCAGACCAATTCTAAGGTTTAGTCTGCCCTTCTGGAGTACTGGTCTGTTTCAGATGGGGCATTATTGGTGAACTGTAACCTGGTTATGGGTCTTTTGATTTTTGCCAGGTGTTAGAACCCATTGTTGGAGGCTTAGTACTGAGCTCTAAGGCAAAGACCTGTGCTAGCTTCCATACCCCACTAACAGGTTGAGTGTGTCTCTGCTTCTGCCTGAGGTCGGAGAGCAGAGTAGTAGTGGAGGTGGCCAGCTCCTCACTAGGGCAGACTAGCAGCTCACTTCCTGAGAACTGACCTACAGCGGGAGTTGGGGGCTCTTTCTCTTACATCTGGTTTCGCTCTGGTGAGACTGATACTGGGTTTCAAGTCAAACTTAACTCCCTCCCCTCCTTCCAAATGAGGCTAGCTTTCTCCCCAGCACTTGGAATTGACCCCTTCCTGTCTACTTGAGCTGAGACCAGATACTGTGACATCTCACCAGAGTTGTTAGCTTCTGTGAGGACAGTGTGGTGCACGACAGCTTTTCAAACTACAATATTGGTGACGAGACGATCACTGGGGAATTTTACCTAGCCACTGTCTTTGCCATGTTGCTGTTTGCTCTTAAAAATTCATCACCTTTAATAAGAAGAAATATGTAGTTTCTATTGAAATTCTGTGCTCTTTGTTGTTGTTGAAAGTAAAATGTAGAAACATTGGATAATATTGTGTTGCCTCAGAGGTTAATTCATTTCATTGGCATTTATTATTTTTTATTTGTGTGTGCATGCTCATGTATGTATGTGTAGGTACACATGTAGAGGTCAGAGGCCAACCTCAGGCATCTTCCTCAGTTCCTCTCCACCTATTCATCCTCCCCAACCCTTAAAAACAGAGCCTCTCACCAAACAATAGCACGTTGTTTTGGCTGACTGGATGGCTAAGAAGCCCCAGGATCTTTGTGCCCCTCCGTCCCCATCCCAATGCAGAGATTGTAAAGGATGCACCACCAACCACATCCTACATTTTATGGGAACTGGGGTTCCAACTCAGGTCCTCATGCTGGTGCAGCAAGCATTGTACCCACTAAGCCACCTCCCTAGCACCTCATTGGTATTTATTCTTGAGGAAAACATAGAATTGGTCTAAATTCTATTCTTAGATGCCCATGTTTATCATGTCTCACTTATATCTCCACTTGGCCTCTGTCTTCATGTACTTAGCAAAGGTGAGGATAATCAGGGCAGTGTGTACCTTTCTTCTGGATTTGGAGTCTGATGTTTCAGAATCTAAGGATGCTTTATGGGCCATCATTGGTTTTCTCTTCATCTCCCTTATTAGGATGTTTTATTCTTTTTTTTTTTTTTTTTTTTTTTTTTTTTTTTGGTTTTTCGAGACAGGGTTTCTCTGTGTAGCTTTGCGCCTTTCCTGGAACTCACTTGGTAGTCCAGGCTGGCCTCGAACTCACAGAGATCCGCCTGGCTCTGCCTCCCGAGTGCTGGGATTAAAGGCATGCACCACCACCGCCCGGCAGGATGTTTTATTCTTAAAGGTAGCAGCTGAATCTCCTCTCAGAGGCCGGGAGCCCTCCCAGGACACCACACTGGATGCGTAGTATACGCTAGTGAATGAAACTGGAATAGGGTGTATCAGTGGTTCTTTTGGTCCATCAAGACGCTTGGTGGAATAGCCTAGTTGAGAAAATAGTGTTTGCCATTCGTCAAGATTTGCAATTATTAGCTTGTAAAATTCTTTATGTCTTGTAGCATAAAAGAAAAACATATGTGCTTTAAGTGTGTGTGCTGGTCCATCTTCATCAACTTGACAGAAGCCAAGACATGTCTGGGAATAGGGAATCTTAATTGAGAACATGCTTACATCAGAATGGCCTGTAGGCATGTCTGTGAGATATTGTCTTGATTAATGATTGGTGTGGAAAGGCCCAGCCCACTACGGGCAGGGCCACTCCTGGATAGATGGTCCTAGGTTGTACAAGAAAGCAGGCCTCGCAAACCACAGGAAGCAAGCCGATAATCTATACTCCTTCTTGGTCTATGCATCAGTTACTGCCTCCAGGTTGCTACCCTCTTTGAGTTCCGGTCATGGCTTCCCTCAACGATGGATTGTGATTGACATATGTAAGCTAAATAAACCTTTTCCTCCC